GTGTGTGTACACATATACATGGAATAATTTGGTAGCCAGTATACACATATACATGGAATAATTTGGTAGCCAGTAAGTGGTTGGACATATAAAATCAGAATATAAAAGAAAAATATTTAGGAAGATATTAGTCATAAGCATGTTTTTCTTTTAGTCAGGTAACGGAAAGTAGAGGCCAACAAAAAGTAAATATAAATGGAAAACCAGAGTAAGAGTCAACAGGTCTGAAAATAGACTATCTGGCCAGAAAAAGATACCCACTGGCTCAAGTTTTTTTTTTTTTTTTTCCAACGTTTTTATTTATTTTTGGGACAGAGAGAGACAGAGCATGAACGGGGGAGGGGCAGAGAGAGAGGGAGACACAGAATCGGAAACAGGATCCAGGCTCCGAGCCATCAGCCCAGAGCCTGACGCGGGGCTCGAACTCACGGACCGTGAGATCGTGACCTGGCTGAAGTCGGACGCTTAACCGACTGCGCCACCCAGGCACCCCATCAAGTTTTGGTAGTGGTACCTTCATGCTAAGAAAAAAAGCCTTATTTATCTGTAGTTGTATCATGTCAAGTGCACAGCTCAGTTGATACTGCATATGTCTGTGGTCAGAGTAAGAATCAAGGACCATGTCCCTTCCAAATGTGTGGACCCCTTCCAAATGGGCTCAAAGGTGGAACCCAAGAGGTATCACATTTCTTCCTCCCAACCTCAGTACTTAGTACCTTTCTTTTTTTATTTTTTTAAGTTTATTTCTTTTTTGAGAGAGAGAGAGAGAGAGAGAGAGAGAGAATCCCAAGCAGGTTCAGCACTGTCAATGCAGAGCCCATTGTGGGGCTTGAACTCACAAACCATGAGATCATGACCTGAGCTGAAATCAACAGTCAGGCACTTAACCAACTGAATCATTGTTTTTTAAAAGTATCCTTAAACTGAAGATTAGAATTGCCATTTTGTCCAATTTAGGCCTAGTTGACATTAGAGAGTCATGGGCATGGGGGTGAAGAATTGGCAGTCTTCTAAACAATCAATGTGAGTTCTTTATAGATTTTGCATACTAGCCCTTTGTCCGATATGTCATTTGCAAATATCTTTTCCCATTCTGTTAGTTGCCTTTTAGTTCTGTTGATTGTTTCCTTTGCAGTGCAGAAGCTTTTTATCTTCATGAGGTCCCAATAGTCAATTTTTGCTTTTAATTCCCTTGCCTTTGGAGATGTGTCAAGTAAGAAATTGCTGCGGCTGAGGTCAGAGAGGTTTTTTCCTGCTTTCTCCTCTAGGGTTTTGATAGTTTCCTATCTCACATTCAGGTCCTTTATCCATTTTGAGTTTATTTTTGTG